ATATATGGCACCAAAAAGGCTTCTCTAATTATTGTGCTTTCCCCTTTTTTCAGCATTCGCGAAAACAAGTAGATCTAGAGCTACATGTAAATTATGTACATGCACTAGAATCTACATGATCCAGTCCAGTAGCCGACGATTTTTACTTTAGTATGACATATTTTCTTTAACTTTTAGAGTTGTCGGAATATTTGGTCCGTGTTCCTTTATAACAAGATATCTAAAAGGAAATAACTGCGTAGATCTATTTCCCTTCAATAGATCTATCTACTCAAACAAATAATGATTAGGCTGTACCTTGTCATTTTTAGTAGGTCTACATCATCATGGTATCATGCAGCTACAGTGGATAGGCCTAATATTGAAATGAATGCTGCTTGTTCACAATCAGAAATGCCCATGATTTGCAAAAGACAGCGTTTTCATTAGCAGTGAAGGCATAATTAGCTTGAAAAGGTGAGAAACAGCAAGTGTTTTCTTCGTACATTATTAGACCTAGATCTAGATCTATGCCAATCATGAGAACCAGGGCAAGCAGCTCATTCAGTTGGCCAAGAGTAAAATCAAATTCAATGGCTGCCCTCGGTGTGGTGTCGCAATGCAACAACCGGCCGCGTGGAGGCATAAATTGGGTTTTCCCCCTTTTGCATGGATTTCAGCCAATGAAATTGTGCGGAACTAGTAAAGTACTCGACGGCCTGACGGGAATTTGACGGTTACTAATAATAGGATCACTGTTGAGGAAAATCCCGACCCACAGCCATTTTGGGTAGTGGGAACAACAAAACTGACAGTTGTGAAGTTTATTTTGTTCATCAAGTTTTAAAGTCTTTGATTCATAAACATATTTCATTGGAACAAAACTAAGATACGTTTTGTCGAAGAAGCCTTTTTTGGAAGTAGGTCTACCATGAAGCCCAAGGTAAGAATGATAGAAAGCCTTATTTTGTCGATTAACTGACGACTGAACTGAAGTTGAAATAAATCCAAGGAAGCTCTCTTGCTTCTTCTTTGACTGCCTTCTTCCCGTGTCCTTTCTTATCATTTCCATATGAATAATAGCGCTATCATTGTAAAGACTGAAGTGGCCATTTGCCAACAATGAATTTCCGTTAGGTTATTTCATTATTTTGAGCAAATTCTGCCAGCAGTAGATTTAGGTCGACTGAAAATGACCATGTGATTTTAAATATAACCCATGTCCTGTCTAGATTATAGATCTAGATTAGATCTAGCCCTAACTATTCCCACCCCCTCGTTTTACAATTCAATTGCACAGGTTTAAACTCTTCACATGTTACGTCAGTTACCCGTGGAATTGTCCATCATCGCACTTGTCTGTCAGCTCTGTACCAGAATTTTCAAAGTATACTGGTTCCAATTTCCTTTAATTTGTTGGGGATTTTCCAATTGCCTTTACAAGTGTATTGCGGTGATCTGTTGGCAGTGAGCCTGCCTTTTAATTTTTCTAATTTTTTTTGGTGCTATCACAACACAATGATAAGTTGACATATAAACGCGGAGAATTCATTCAGAAATGGTGTGTGTATGCTAAAAATTTTGGGCAGGTAGGCCCTCTTCTAGGTAAAAAGGGGAGGAGCTATGAGATTGACAGGTTGAGCTTGAGACTCACGATTTGATAATAAAAGTGAAAATGTGCGTCATCAAATTAAGGAGAAACCATGTTATTGTGATTGGTGTAGGTGGACCTCTCCTGCTAGCCATAATATAAAAGTCATATAGGAGACATCAGTTCATTTCAAAGTAAGGGAAAATCATTTTGCCGATTGTGGGTTGGACTATGAGTCACTTTGGATTCTTTCCCCCTGAGATGGCGAAGATCCTGCGTTTTCTTTGCACCCAACCAACAGAATCTTTTAAGCAGAGATTACAACATCACTACCGTTCGCTGATGACCAGGGGCTGACTGGCCTATAGGCATTTGGGCTATGCCCCCTGGGCCGGTGCCGAAGGGACAAAGTGGGCCGGTGCTGAAAGGACAAAGTGGGCCTCTTGGTTTTAAAAAAATGTCTTCAGATTACTGTGTTTATAAGACCAGTGGATCTACTCCTTTTTCTTCCTTTGTAGGCCTGAATGGGTAAGTGGTAATGGATAAGTCAAACCACAAAAGAAGAAAAGGAGATGAGGAGAAGGAACATGAATGAAAGAAAAAGAAACTGTCTGAAAGTGCATCAAAATGCCGAAATATTTTGCCACTGTTTAAAAGCGTTGATGCAAAGGGACCTGTAATCGGTGAAAATGTGGCAAAAGGCACATGCAGCTGGACCTTCAGCAGTTGAAACAACGGATTTTGACCAAGTTGACGAAAGTAGTGGATTGGCAGCTGCTGCTGATCTATCTGCAGGTGAAGCTAGACCATCATCAGGTGAAATGAGAAATTAACCCAACATGTGAAAGGGAAGCTTTGCCCCTGGCTAGCACAGAACAGACTGCACATACTGAACTTGAAGCCGCAGGAAGTAATGATTTCAGGTTTTACTACTTTAAGTTTAAGAAACCATGCACAGTTCTAAGGAGAAAAGTTGTTGTTTAGGAATCATCATCCATGTCAAAAGACAGATAATCGAGTGGTGCAAAGATGTTTCATTCATGAAGTCAGATGGTGGCTGTCTTACAACAAACACTCCCATGCACTTCATTGTTCTGTCTACTTGGTGTTTTATGCCACTTCAGACTCTCATCCGAATTTCTTGAGGGGATGAAAGACTGGCGGCATGTACATTCTCGTATTGAACAGTACGAACGTTCGTCTTTGTCTGCAATGCTCAACAGCATACCTGGTTGATAAAAAACAATCAAGCATGTCTCACGTTTTGGCGAAGGGCTACTGTGATGAAGTCAGAAAAAAACGGCAAGCGGTGAATCGAATTGTGGATGTTGTTAAACTCCAGGAGGGGGCTAAGCTACAGAGGAAGTACGGAAGAGACAGCCTATACTTTGGACAATGCAGTAATTGACCATGGCTCTTTCCTGGAAATTGTTACGTAGCTACGCAAATACGATTCATGCACAGCTGATCACCTCTCTCGTGTAGTCCATAACAGCAAGACAAAAAATGAGATGGCAAACAGCTCGAAAGGCAAAGGCTCATTTGTAGTTTTTGTCCAGAACTACTGTGAATACTATCATCACGGTTATATGGGATATGATCCGTTACTTCGTTT